GTGAGCTTGGAATCCAACAAGCTGTTGGGAGGGTCAGCAGCACTGCAGCTGTAATCAGGATGCTGTCACTCTCCTTTCCCTTCCCAACTTGGTTGTCTGTCCTTGCCTATACAGCAGTAGGCAGATGGGTCTTTAGCACTACCACATGTCATCTTTCACTGGGAAGGTCTTTGTAGCAGGGGCACAAGTGACATTGCTGGAATGGACTGGAGGTCTAAAACAGCAAAGTTGATGTTGTTTCCTGTAACTGACGCTGCTGATAGCAATACGAGCAGAGTGGAAGGGCGGTAAGAGGTGACGTTTGTCAGTGCAGCGTGTGGAGTGGGGCAATATGCATACAAGGTAAGTGACCTTCACTTCCGTGTAGGATTCACACTTGTTGCATTGCTAATATGTCAAAGATCAGGTTTTCTTGAGTGTAGTGTTTGTGTAGAGTCAGTTCATGGGCTCTTCAGGTTTTTGGAGAGGTTTTCCTAGTTTGTTGCAGCAGTGTTGGAAGATAGTGGAAGAGTAGTGGTCAATACTGGAACCTATTTGGTGATGCAGCATGTAAGGTAGTTTTAACTCTGGTCTGTCTCTCAAACTCACTTTTGGCTTCCAGAAATCACCCTGATATTTTTCAGTATGAAGCTGTGTGGAACATGTAAGAAAAGGGATTCATGAATAAAAGTAACTTAGGTAATGATGAAGCCCTGTCCAGTTGTACCCTACCAAACTAGATGATCTTTATGGAAATATAGCACATTCAACCTTCTGAGTCAGTTCTTCTATGATTTCTATTGCCTTCATCCAATACTGTTAACTCAACTATGATGCAGTTCTGGAACTTACTGTTTCTGTTCCTCTCCAAGATTTCTGTAAGTAGAATTTATTTTTTGTAATCCTTTTTACTGAGGGATTAAGGGTAAAGGACTTGAAGGTCTAAGTGGCTTTCCTGAAACATGATAGCAGGACACAGTGCTAGCTATGCTTGCTAGCCATTCACGTTTCTTTGATTTATGTTCTGAAGGATTAGTGTCTACAGCAGAGAATTACCTGTACAGGAATGGATTAAACTAATCTGGAATATTTTGTCAAGGCTGTTGGTCTGTGACGTGAAAGTTATTCTTCTGGGAAATGATCCAGCAGCATGAGTATGTGCTGCTTGGACTTCCCTGTTCTATATCATTACAGTGTGTGTTCAATGATTTAAGCGGAAAGCACACACTCTCCACCTATCCTGTGACTTACGTGTATATTGTTGATTATGAAACCCTTCAGTTCTCTAGAGGAGAATACAAAATGTCGTACAACAAATGGACACCGCTGTGCAAAGAGAAGATTTGTCAAGCTCCTGCTTTTCCTCTTTCTTTCACAAATGACCTCTGTTCTCTAGCTTTTTTTTCCCTCCCTCTCCTGCCAGAAAATAACTTCTTAAAGGGAAAGGTAAGTCTAAATGTCATAGCTTTTCCTGGAGTTATGGTTTACTGCACCCCATCATAGGTCAAAAAGAAGAAGGAGGTGATTTAGCTTGAGCATTGCCTGCTTCAGGTTCTTTCCTACGAACAGTAAGTTATAAACTGCCAAACCCCAAACCAAACCTACAGTGTAGGCATCTGATTTGATGATAAGCATTTCTCATGATCTTTGGGCTTGGGATGGAGGAAGAGGGTGGATTGGTGTGCCACCCTGAGCATGTATGCTCATACACAGCTCCATCCCACCCTACAGCATTTATGTACCAGGTAGCATAGTCATCTTTGAGTGACTACAGAGTCAGTCAGGAAAACACAGGAGTTATCCATGTTCACGTACTTGCTCACTCCCAGTGCCTCAAGGTTTGGGATCTAATGCTGTCAGGTAACAAGAGGAAAATATCTGTTTTTTTTTCTGGGACAAAATCCAAAGATTTGAATTTGCCTCAGCGTACAAGGGAGGTTTATTTTAAATCCTTAGAACTTTGGGAGTGGAGAGAAAAGAGAGTGGCTTCAGATGCTGGGTTCAGTGTTGGACTGCAAATGCCCGTGTGGATTTTCATAGAAATCCTGGCATAAAGTGCATCTTAAGACTCCAAAGGAAATAAAGTGGATAATGGTGGGACCTATAGATGGTCTGTCTTGGGCTTATTTGTCTTTGCAAGCCTTTATGGATATGTCTAGCGGTCTTTAAAATGAGTAAGAGAAAGAAGTGAGGGATGTATTTTTTAGTCAGGCTGATTTGTTTCTTCCAGTTTGGTTGCGCTTTAGCAAGTTGGTTGATAGAGCTGGTTGATGCCTCCTACCAGCTTGCTTCTGGGTAATGCTGATTCTGCACAACCCATACGTTTCCATCAAAATATCCATTCTCTGTACGGTTTCAATGAAGACCAGGCAAGTTGTTTAGATGAATGTTCAGCTTTCCAGCTGCCTTGCTGGCAGGCTTCCCAGCTTTCTGGATGGCTGAGTCTAAATGAGTTGGGTTCCTGGGAAACCAGTTAAAAAACTTTAAAAAATTTAATTTTGTACTCTCTTCAAAAGGAATTGTCTGAGAATTTCCTTCCCCTGAGATAGTAATCTTTTCCTCTTTAGCTTTTCATTACAGTTTGAAATGTAAAACACTAGTAGGGGGAAATTTAGTTTTCTAAGCAACTCTGCAGATGATGTGGTTTACCCCAGTAAGCACCCAAGTGCCACAGAGTTGCTCGCTCACCTCCCCGCTCTCCCCCAGTGGGATGGGAGAGAGAATCAGATGAGAAAGGTAAGAGAACTTGTGGGTTGAGATAAGATCAGTTTAATACTGGAAAGTGAAAAAAAGAATTATACGAAGAGTAATTCTAATAATATGTAACAAAAATACTGCTACTGATAATATGTGATTTGAAAAAACAGAAAAAGGGAAGACAAAATGAACAACGGCTCACCACTGGCCGACCGATGCTCAGCCAGTTCCTGAGCAGCAGTTTTCTGTCCTGCCCAACTCCCCTAACTTACATACTGAGAATAATGTTTGATGGCGTGAAATGTCCCCTTGATCAGTTTGGATCCAATGTCCGGGCTGTGTCCCCTCCCAGCACCTGCACAGAAGAAGCTGGGATCACAGGTGCAGTATGACAGACTGAAAAAGCCTTTGGCTTGGTATAACCGTTGCTTGTCAGCAATTAAAAACATCAGTGTTATCAGTATTCTTCTCAGCACAGATCCAAAACCAGCCTCCTACTAGCTACTGCAAAGAAAATCAATTGTCTTCTCTAAAGCCAGCACAGCAGAAGACCACAATTACGTTGTTTGAGAGTTGTTTCCATGCTTTTTAATGTCGTGTAAAGACAGAATGTACAAATTCCTGAAGAGCTGGTATAAAATTTCAGATCTATTCTAAGCTAGTTCTCAAAAGATCGTCAAGAACTAAGTGGTTCCTGTTAAAGAAAACCAGCCTCTCGGGAGATTTAAACTTCCTATAACTTTGATGTAAGAGCCTGGGGTATTCCTTGCTTTTCTTTGGAGATCTGGGGAGGAGGCTCTGCTAATGACTTTTCTGAATACCTGAGAATCTCTCCTTCTCAGTGCGACATTGTCGCCTGAAGAACCCCAAGTTTCAGCTAGGGGAGATTATAGCAGTAATCCCGTGTCACTGTTCACAGGAGGGATGGGTGACGCACCATGTATTCGAAATGCCTTTTTTTAATGGCTGTTTGCCGAAGACATGGGCCTCATAGCATGCTCCGTCGTGCTGTAATGGGAGTGTAGAGGGTTCTGATTAAAATGTAGGACTTGGAATTCAACCAACTACCTGCATTTATATGCAAATCTCTTTGCAAGTCCCTGTGCAAAACCTGGGCACTTTTACAACGGTATGTCACACTGCAGGATTTCAGGCTGTCTTCCAGGGACTTTGGGTGTATAAATGACTCAGTAGTAATTGAAGAGTTTCTTTTGGCAAAACGAGAATATTTTGACAAGACTTCAGACACTAGATATTATACAATTATCCATTTTGAAGATACTTTTCTTCAGGTGATACTTCCTTCACTGCAGTAGAAATCACAAATAAAAACCACTGCAGACTGTGGTTGTTGGTTGTGACTGTAAAGTTCTGCTTTTCTAGGAGTGGAGCAGAGACTAAAAGCAGGATCTGATGGGTTTTGCCAGATGTGTCCTTTGTAGTCTATTTTTTTAGCTTCCCTGCTGTCGAGTAGCTTGCCAGCTGATCAAACTTGGTGTGGTGCCTTTAAGAACAAACGCTAAAAATTGTTTTGAGTATGACTTTTGATGAATTGCAAGAACTGGCCCTTTGATTTGGATTCTGGTTTTCTAATACAAGGTTCCCTTTTCACTGACCTACCTGGACTTCCGTTTGCTAAGCTCTGACCAAGTCTGGTTTTCTTAAGAATAAAATGGAGCACTCTGTGAGGAAATAAAGCTAAAATGAAGCCGATTTACAGAATTGAGACATTAAGTCATTAGAAGAGCCCTCATTAAGGCTGCGTCTCTAAATAATGTCAGCTCTGTACATTGCAGTGGTCCAGTGGGTCCCTTGTTGGCGACTGAGGCTTAGAAATGCCACTGCTAGTAAGGAAGTGGGCAGACTTCACCTCCTCTTTGGTTTTGGAAGAGAAATACTTGGAGAAAATTTGTGTATTGGCTTTTCCTGTGGGAAGGGGGAGACAACTTATTTTTGTCTTAATGCTTCAACATGTTTCTAAAACCTGGCTTCATTGCCAGTGCTGGGGAAGACTTCATGTGGCACTTCAGTTCCTTAGTTTTGTAGAGAGCTTACTATGGAGAAGTATTAGTTCCCACTTCACCTGCAACTTCTGGTAGACCCTAATTTCCCAACAGTAAGTCGCACTACGTTAGAACCACTTCCTATTTATACTGTTTCATGTTGTTTTTTAGCAGGGTGGCGAAACCTTCTAAGATGTGAAAATGAAGTTCCTTTCTTTTAATTTTGTAATTAGATCTGTAATCAGTCTTCCCACGAATACATCGATGAAGCAGTAGAGACGAAAATAAGGAAGATTTCATCCTTCAAACCAAGGACTTGTCATGTCTTACCATTACAATGAAGCCTTTGAAAATCCAGACTACCACTTCTCAGAGACACTGGAAATTGATAGAAGGTGAGTTTGTTTAATTTTGCTGTTGTGACTGTGCCAGAAGAGATTAAATCCTCTATTTATGTGTAGGAGAAACTTCTTCTCCAGAGTTTAATTTGTGGAATTCTTTTAATCCCTCTGTGCTTGTATTCTCAGACACACGTTTTTAAAGCTGTTACCAGAAAGGTGGCATTCAAGAGAAACGGCATGTTTGCTTTTCATGTCAGATGAATTGATCAGTTAAATGGCTTTTAGAATTTATGGCATAATGTCATGGATGTTTTTCAGTTCCAGTAATTTTCACAATGTGCTATAGCCTTTGATGTCATAGAATCATAGAATCATAGAATGGTTAGGGTTGGAAGGGCCCTTAAAGATCATCTAGTTCCACCCCCCCTGCCACAGGCAGGGACACCTTGCACTAGACCAGGTTGCTCAAAGCCACATCCAGTCTGGCCTTGAAGACATCCAGGGATTGGGCATCCACAACATCTCTGGGCAACCTGTTCCAGTGCCTCACTACCCTCTCTGTGAAGAATTTCTTCCTGACATCTAATCTAAACCTGTCCTTGTTTTCCAAGTAGTTATTCCTGTTTAGGTAGAATCTAAGCTTACTTCAAGTGGAGAAGAGTTTTTAGTCTTTCTAATTCAGAATGTTGATGCTGGAGTTCTAAGTACAAAATGCCTCTGGGTCTCAGTGTTTAGTGTATAATGTACTCAAATTTGATGATAAAGGGTAACAATTTATTAAGCATATCTATTGAGACTTCTTGTGGCACTCAGGGTTTTCCTTTTTGTTGCTCACACAGGAGGAGTTCTCAAAAGAGTCTGTTCTCTCCTCAAAGCCCTTATGGTTCTTCACTGCATGGTTCCAACCGAGAGCACAGTGACAGAGGACAGAATTATACTCTGGCCATACCAATGGCCTCCATGAGACGTGGCTCTGAATACAGTGAAGGTTTACCAAGAGTTAATGTCCTAAGCAGAAGTTCATATGGAAACTCCACAGGTATGTAATTTCTCATATGAACTGTTTGCAGAAACACCAGAACAAGCAATGGCTGACTCTGTCCTGAGGGAGTCCTGCACACTGGAAAGCTCAATTCATTTGTACATGGTGGCAGTGGGTCGTCTTTGCTTTTTTCCTTAGAAGTAGTTCGGATGTTACATTAACAGATCCATGGACTGCCTGTTGCATTAGCAGGTCGGTAAGTACCAACTGGGGTGGACTGCATAAGTCGTTGAATACTGGGATGAACGCTGGAGTGAGATACAGGAGTTTTGTCAGTGGGATATATTGCTGTGTTTGAAGTAGAGCTGTACTTGGTCAATAGGGCTGAAGTTCTGTGTGTGTGAATAATCCATAGTGGTATACAGCTTTCTGTATAATCCTGATTCCCTTCAACAGATAATCTTTCCTTTGAGCCTGAGGCGGAACCAGCATACAGCTCACCTTCTACCTGCTATCTGCTGAGCCACCCTCATGCCCACAGAATTTCCAGTGTACCAGGAGGTAAGACATGAGGATTGGGGTGCATCAGAATATTGAATGTTAATCTTGCCCTCCATGAAATAATAAATATTTAAAAGCTTTCTGGCTCAGGTATGAAAATCCTCATTTGATAAAAGGAATCATAAAACATAAATTGTCTTATACTATCCAGCGTCGTTGTCGCCAAATTTTTCAACATTTTTCTGAAGGTGATGATCTTCTATCTTTCATTGCTCAAGAACCAAATGCCTACCACTTTTAACCCAAACTCTCAGGAAGTGTGTCGACGTAGAACAAATTTACAGAGGCTTACTGTAGGAGAAAATATGGGGAGGATAGGATGCGTTTTTGAGACTGTCTTTAGTGAATGTTGTGTTGTCTCCATGCAAATTCTAGCCTAGAGTAGTAATTAGAGGTTTATATTTATTAAAATACAGGGAGTCTGGAATAGTTTCATCTGGGATCTGGTTTAGGCTACCGTAGTTGTTTACTGTTCATGTTCTGGGTAGGAACTGTTCTACCTGTATCATGTAATTTTTCTGTTACAATCAGTTTGGTTCTTGTCTGCTGCTTCTGGAATGCAATTGAGGTTGTTGTGGTTTAACCCCAGCCAGCACAGAGTTCTTTTCAGGAACTGTTATCTGGATGCATTGAAATAACTGTCTCTCTGTGCCCCAAAGTGAGATATTCTTGGCTGGGTTGGTTTCTGCCCCCACCCCCCCACCAAAAAAAATCATCTTTAAGAACATGGTCTTTAAGTTAAGATCTGATTTGGCAAAATCCTGTATTCATGGTACCTGGAAATGCCTCACTCAATGAGTGACCGTAGAAATAGGAGATTTCCAAACATGAACTATTGTGCGTGGCTTTTAGTAGCTGATAGGAAGGAGAGAGTGCGTTTCCGACACAATCAACTGGAGGATAAATATCTGAATGCTGAAAGTTCAGGAAGCACCTCTGCAGGGGGCACAGATGTTTTTCTTCTTCTGATCCTTTTTAATAGCTACAAAGGAAGTTGGCTTTAAGTGGAGTTGGCATGAGGGGCCCATTGGATCTGAATAGTAAATATGGTGAAGGAGCCTGTAACACAGGCATTAGCTAACAGGCGCATCCGTAAGCTGAGCCTTCCACACTAGAGGGTCGAGCTCAAAAGGAGGAGGATGTAACATTGTGCAGGCTGGCCATTAGCTTACTGGGAAGGTGAGGCAAGGAAAGCTGTGGCTGAACTCACCTGCTTCATTGCTGGAAGGGGGGTGGGCTTGAGGAATATAGTCGCTTGTGTTTGGAAGGTGTCCCTGCCCATGGCAGGGGGGGGGGGGGGGGGGGGGTTTTTTGGGGCTTTCCACACAGGTCCCTTCCAACCCAAACCATCCTGTGATTCTATGAATAATTGAATGAAAGAAGGTTGAGAGAACAGTTGCAATTGAACAGTTACAGTTTGGGCCCAGGGGAATGGGAGTCTGGTACAGATAACTTACGTAGTGTGGTTGAGTGTGGTTCTAAAACAAACCTTGGGAAGTCAGTCAAAGGATTTTTAAAGAAAGGACATGTCTTCTAGCAAAAGAGTCTTGAATAATCAGCGTGTGCATTTATGAATGGGTTAGGTGACAACGTTTTCCATGACAGCTGAAGAAAGGGCTCAGTACATCTTTTCCGGTGGGTATCTGAAAAATTGCATACGGTCATCAAGCCTGACCAGGAAAGAAGGGAGTGGGGGAATAGAAGTTTTCATGTTGGTGGTGAAATTGAAGGGTCTACATTTAAATAGCTTCTGTGAAAGTGAAATTTGTATTTCTTAAGTCAATTTGTCAGGGGTAGCTGAGCTTACTAAACAGTGCGCGTTATCTAGATAGCTTCGTTCGGAGACGCGACAGAAGACAACCTGATGAGATCTTTGTGACTTCTTCTAGCCCAGAAACAGATCCAGAGTGCAAAGAAGGTAGGTGTTTACATGGTTCAATAGTAAACAGCATCTTCCACAAGGATGGTGGGGTTGGTTTCCTTGGTTTATCACCGGAATTGCATGTACAGTCTTTTGGTGGTTGTAAGAACAATTTGTTTTTGTGTTAACGCTAGTGACTAATCTTTTATACTCTACAAGCACATTAAAGTCCCATGATAAGTGAAGCACAGTGCAGTGTGAGTATGTGTTAAATTGTAGAAAGAAAAGCTACTGTGCTACTTATTTACATCTGTATTAGAGTACTGACAGAGCTGATGATATTCTGGGGAGTATTGGTATATCTCAGAACTTGCCACACCGTGGTGGCAGTGGAAGTGGGGAATTTTGTTATATCTGTTTCAGATTTTGTATAAGAATTACTGTATTATAATCCCAAAATTTGGATTTTTCATGGGTTTTATGCAGAGCAAAAATTAGTTGGAAATCTTGCAAGTGTGTCTGCCAATGAAAGGATTAAAGCAATCCAGAAGATGCCAGAGACCATGAAAAAAAAGAGAGAGATCAGGTAAAAATAAAAGTTTATCTGTTTAGTTTTACCAACACTATACTTTCAACATCTATCTATCAACTAGGGGTGTTTGCCATCTGCCCAGCTTTGGTTTGTCACTTTTAAAGGACTGAAAGTACTTTTTAATGCACTTTTAAGAAGTTAACATCTTGCAAGGGAAAATAATTTAAACATGATTCATTGTCCTTTCTCTGGATGAGCAGAATCTGTCATGGTAATATAAAACAGGGTGTCAAGGCCTTCGTATTTGATTATGAATGATGACTTGCAATGTCTTGACAAAGGAAACTTGGATGTTGGCCATTGAAAATGGAGAAGAGGCCACATGGTCTCCACCATCCTTCTGCCTCCTCACAGAATATATTTAAATTTTGTTCCCGGAATGAGTTAGTGGAGGGGTTAGGACATGCTGTCATAGCATGGACAAGAGCCATGGTATCAGCTAATAGAAACAGCCAGCAGGACATCTCCATGGTTTATTAACTCTGTTCAAGTGCACGTGTCAATCTATTTGCAGCAGCTTCTTTGGCTTCTTGTTTTAATTATAACCCATACTGTAATGCTTGTCACCCCCTGCCCTGCTCTTCTACAGGAATAAAGTTCTTGAAAAAATAGGAAAAAAATCAAGGCACCACAGTACTCAAGACTCCTGCTGTACACAGCATCTGCAGGGAACATCAGTGGTAAGTGCCAGAAACTCCTGTCGGTCACGATAGTGTAAACCACTTCAGCTGCAACGTTGTCAGTGCCTCCAGCAGTATCTGGTATCCTGCCTTGTGCTGCTTACAAACCAACTAATTGCGGCAGTGTTCATTAACAGTGACTTGCATTATGGTAGCACTTGGGAAGACCAGTTAATCATCTTACAGTGCGTGTAGTGGGGGAAAACTGCTCTTATCATCAAAATGGAACTGTAAAAAATGTGGGGGTTTATTAAGTGACTTTGAGTCCTGTTTAAGATTGCTTGCTGAGATTCATCTTTCTCTTCTCTTCCGCACTTCAGTCACTTCAGCGGTTTGGAAGTCGCTTGTCCGAATGCTTTCACCTACTGCAGCTATGGCACAAGGCTCTGAAGATCATCGGTGCCAACTTTGGAACAAGTGTTCTTTCTTACTTTATTTTCTTGAAGTGGCTGCTAACTTTCAACATCTTCTCATTCATCATAAACTTCAGTTTCATCACAATCCCTCAGTTCATGGCAGCAGAGCCAAATAACCTGCCATTCATGGGTCTGGAGCTGCTCACTGGAGCTGTAAGTATGTTACAACAGGTTTGTGTTAATATTGTGTGCGGCAGATCTGCCTTAAAAACCCGTGATAAAGTAAAAAGTATTTCTTACTAAGACGTGGAGTTAGAATTCTATGTGACTAGAAACAATATTTAGTACATTTTTCAAAAAGAAGCTGCAACAAACATTAACTCAGTCAGGTGAATGGGACTCATGCTAATGCACTTCTCTATTTCAAGACTTCCCTTACTTTCAGAAAGCAGTGGAAGAGACACAGAGGAAACCAGGCCTTTCAGAGATAGCTACAATAGTCTTCAGCAACACATTTGTCTCATGCTAATTTTCCTCTGAAAATACTGTGCTGATTTCCCTATGTGATTCTGAGGAATTTCCTTATTTTCAAAAATTTATTCTTCAAAGGAGCACACAGATCTTTCTGTGGCCATTTGTTGAACTCGGTGGGGGCCTGCAAATGGGAGGGTCTTTTAATTGTGTGGAGATTTTTACATTCAGGGAGTAAAGTCCCAGGCTGTTTTTAAATGAAGACTTTGCATTCCTTTAACTCTACTAGTATTCATCAACTAACTGATCTGAAAAGGTTACTTCGTCTTTTTTGTAAAAAAAAAACCCCAAAACCTGTCACTTTTATTGTTGTCTTATTGTTGAAGTATTCTCTGTTTAATAAACAACACTGCTCTTACTAATGCTTCGTTGAGAAGAGATCTTTTTAAAGAGGAAAGGTGTCAGCCTTTTCTTGCTAAAATTGCTTTTAAAGTGCTGTGTTTTGTAGTAATGCTCTTTTAACTTTGCAAAGTACTGTCACCATGGCAGGAGTTCAGCTGTAATGTAGTAACTCTAGTATTGAATGTGAGATGCTTTTTTCCTGCTTCCTCCATAGCTGATACAATTTGGCAGCACAGAACCTTGCTCCTAAGGAATAAGCTATTACACCTTTCCCTCTTCAAGAATTTTCAGAAAGGACCAGGTCCTGCCAAGCTGTTGATTGCTCCTGAACATCCCACATGAATCTTAAGAAGGAGACAAGTTATTTAGGTATCTCTAGAAGCTCTCAAACGATGGAAGATTTTAGTTGATAGAAGGAAGACAAAGGCCCTGATGTTTAGAAACTTAACCACATCTGTGATTTCACAGTAGGGAACGGGGCAGCTCCCATGTTCATCATCTGAAGCCCAATAAATGGTACTTCCCACCATATGTAGGTGATAGCAAGCATTCTGAATCATGTCCATATCTTTTCAGGGTTATTTTCAACAAACAGTACTCTACTATGGCTTTTACACCAATGCTACAATCAGTAAAATAAGGAGTGGTCCATCTTACAACATGCAGCTGGCCTATATTTTCACCGTTGGGATATATTTTGTCATCTGTTTTCTTATCTTATTGTTCAGGTAATATATCTTCTTATCTTCAGAACTATATCTTCTTATTTCACTTATAATTAAGGGAAGAGTTTAAAAAAAACCCCAAAACACAAAACCCCCAGAACAACACCAAAAAACCCCCACCCTGGAGAGTTGGCAGTAATAATGACCTGAGTATATTTCTGTAAGTACGTATTTCTAGGTGTGGAGTTTAAGCGGACATTTCTTCTTAAAAGACAGTCCCCAGAAATCAAGCCCTTCTTAGACAAATGAAGAATAATTGCAAAATAGTAAGGGAAATTAAGAGAATCCCATTCAAACCAATGAATATTGTGATCCCCCTTTTGTAAGCCATTACTCCTAGTATCTTCTGGCATTGATGGGGCCTTCCAGAGGTAAAGAATGTCAACAACACCTACGAGAATGAAACATAGGAGTTTTCTTACATTAAAGTTTATTTTCCATGTTGACTTATGTGACATGCTTGGGAACAGGTTGCCCAGAGAAACTGTGGATGCCCCATCCCTGGAAGTGTCCAAGGCCAGGCTGGATGAGGCTTGGAGCAACCTGGTCTAGTGCAAGGTGTCCCTGCCCATGGCAGGGGGGTTGGAACTGGATGGGCTTTAAGGTCTCTTCCAGCCCAAACCATTCTGTGATTCTGTGATATGTCCAGTAGCCTTGGGATAGGATGGGAAAATTGACAAATTTCCCTCCTTGCCCTACTTGATGTATTGCCCCATTACACATCTCACAAATTTAATTTTCATTGCAGCATGGCAAAATCCTTCTGCAGGAATGTCATTAACCCTCAGGCATACTCTGGAAATGCCAGCAAGCTTCTCTGCACTTGGGACTTCAATGTAACTAATGAAAAAGCTGTGAAGCTGCAACAAAAGAATCTCAGCACACAAATAAAGGTACAAAACTAGCATGCATGAGTCATTCTGCCAGAGACTTGTTTGCGCATACAAATTTGTGTACAGACATAGAAGTCTCTGGCAGAGGGTCTCAAGTGTGCTAGTCCATTCCTAACAGACAAAGTCTTCCTGACTGTGAAGTTTAATTTGGTTTGAACTCCTGATGTTGGCTTAGCTATTTGGTTTTCTCTTCTCTTTAAGCTACATGTAAATATTTGTATGCTTCTGTTCTACTGAAGGAGTCCCTGTGACTATTAAATATTTGCCAAACAGTACGTCCTTTTTACCTTCCTGCGCATGAACCTTCTACACAGAAGGCAGGTTTGCAATATCTGTGAAATACGGTGCAAGTGTCAAGAGAAAGGACCTTTAGGATAGGAACACAAAGTTGTCCGTGCCAGTCTATTATCCTGCCCATCTTCTAGAGAAACTATCTTTCATTCAGTCTCTCAAGTCGTTACTTGACACAAGTTTTGCTTGACTAAGGAATTCTTCATTAGGAATTGTTTCCTTGCAGGAAGACCTCACTGAAGTAAGCCGAGAAGTTCTAAATTTTTCTATAATGGAGAGAGTTGTTCATATTGTTATTCATCTTTTTTCTTGGGTTGCTTCCCTGGGAACAGCACTAGCTGCTTGTGCTGGTGTTTACTTCCTCTCCATTAATAACCTAAAGGTAAGGACAGATTTTTCAGTCTGGTTTTAGAGCCGCGTTGTTCCACATGGGTATCTTGCACTGAGAGCAAGCAGTGGTCTGTTTGCTCTTGGGACCTTGGGGAAGCATAGCTGTTTCTGCCAATGCAAACACAAATTCTGCTCTCCCTAAAAAGCTGGTTTGCAAAGGCTCGCACTGCTGGGGACTATGGCAAGAGCGTAGACCTGAGGGCTCTGACCAGATCTCCTCCCTCAGCCCAGCAGCTGCTTTGCTTGCCTGGGCTCATGACTACCTTAGGATTGTGCAGCTTTCCTTGAAAGAAACAGCAAGAAGCAGCCTTGTCAAAGCCTGCCTCTCCTTTGCCTAGGAGCTGCATTTAAGATGGGGCTCCCACCCTTGGTCCCAGGTAATGCAGGGAAGGGGAGAGGGTTGCTGTGCTGCTGGACATGGGCCCATGAAACATGACAGTCTCTAACCTGTACAGGGAGGGGCACCAGGCGTCTTCCCTGAGGACACAACTTGAGGCAGCATTTTGGTTATAGCTCTAAGTTGGGGTTGTTTGGGTTTTTTTTTGTTTTTCCTACCTAAGCTGTTTGTGGAAGGGCATAAAAGTGACCTAGAGGGCCAAGCTTCCATGTTGGTGCTACCTGTTGTGGCATCTCTCCTCAACACATTGATCCCATTCTTCTACTCGTGGCTTGGACACTTGGAGAGATTTCAGACTCCTGGACACAAGATATATGTCACTATTATCAGGTATTTGCTGCTGCCACCTCTTAGTGCTTTTTGCCTGAAGTTGTCTGACTCTCTTTTTGATGGCAAGCTGTGTCTAGGTGGTGTGGGGGGCAGAAGGGAGCTACGGAGGAAAATTCATCTTCTCCAAAGGCTTCTGTGCATTCTTCCTTCCAAGTTTTGTTTGTCTTCTGTGAGCCTTCTGGAGTGTGACATCTCTGCATGAGGACGGGGTATGGTTGCCCTGTCAGGGATGCACACTGTGACAGTGGGCTTGGTTCTGTTTGTGGCTTCCAGCCATTGGCCCCTCAGGGAAAGGAAGGAAAGTGGAGTGAGGAGGTCTTAAATACAGATGCTTGGGATTAACACCATGTAACCCCTGATGCCCCTCAGACCTTCCTCCTCTGAGAATTCCACGAACCCAACCAGCAGCCTCTTCAACAGAGGCTTGTGCCAAGGTTGTCAGGCTCTGCTCCCCTTCTGCCAGGACAACACACCAGTGCTGCTCCTGAGCGCCGAGGAGAGCTCCTCTTAGTCCTGGCACTCTGCAGAGCTGCTGTTGCTGTCAGAGGAGGTGATAAAGTATAAGCTACGGTCATCCTGCCACCATTACCCCAGTGAGCTTATTGACCAGTGCAGTTACTGTTACTTTTTCTTTTTAGAAATATCATCCTGAAAATATCAATTGTTGGAATACTGTGCTACTACTGGCTTAACATTGTGGCTGCATCAGAGTCACAGGTAAAGTTTCAAAAATGCAAATCTTTGACTTACGATGCCAGGTTAGGAGCCGCTTTGATATGAAGCTTGCTCTCACAGAGGGAAGTACACGTTGTATCTTGGAAAGCTGAATTTGCCGCCCCAACGTGTTTTTTTTATCAGCATTGTTAGAGAAATGAACTGTAGGAAAAACTGAATTGCCCGGCTTGGGTCTCAACTGGTTTGCAGCATTGTTCAGTGAAAGGTCAACTGTGATTGTTCGCTGTTCGCAAATCTTTGATCTGTAGCCCAAGTTTTAGATACTCAAGCACCTGGGAATAATGTTAGAGAATCACATGATTGTTGACTTCTAGACATGCATTTTAAAAAATTTTTCTTCTTATACAGTGTTGGGAAACTCTGGTTGGCCAAGATATCTACCGTCTTGTCGTAGTTAACTTCCTATTCTGTTTGCTTGGCTCGTTCTTTGGAGAGTTTTTACGAAGGTAAGTACTGCTTTTCTCATCTTGTTGTTATTCGTTAACCAAAGACAGCAGAGATGTGATCTTCTTCCCAGTGCGGGAGAAGGAACAGTCCAACAGGAGCGTGGCTGGGGCACCACGGAGGCTTCCTTGGTTGTCTCTGCCAGGCACAGTCTCTGGGTGCATGCCTTGTGTTTATTGCAGGTGCTTCTTAGGAGGAGGGGGGAGTGGTTACCGTTCTACCCTCCCACTGTGTCCTTTTCTCCTTTGGAGGCAGAAGCACAAGCAGGGAGGAAGCCACGTTGTACTCCCATATATCTCCTGAATGGGATGACCAAGTGTCTGAAGCAGAAAACCTTGACTTTCTGCAGATGCACGGCCACACTGCTGGCTTTGTATGTCCCCCTGTATTTGTTTCCCTCTTAGTTCTGTCATTCTGTAGAGTGCACGCAAGTTTAAAATTTTGTTTTAGTCAGCCTTGCTAAGCAATATGAATTTATTACATAAAATATATCCATATTAAATATTTAATATATTCATATTAAACTATGAATTCTACACTATTCTGAAGTGTAGGATTCTGCAGCATGGTAAGTGAGAAAGTATTTTTAACTGAATAATGTGAACACAGCTAAGCATGTAAGCAAAAAGCCATTTACTTCTGCCACCTGCTCTGTGTACCTTCCTATTGCCAAATGTTATTTGTGACTTAAGGTGGTAGGTAGAGTATTTAAGTTGCCAGCTCTACAGTGCATGCAGGGCTCCTGGCTGTACTTCTGTAGGAGATCCATTGTTTGCCCTTAGTACATGATGCAAGCAAGACTGGTTTACAAGGTGGGGCAGTATCTGTGTTAAATTAGCACGAAACAACACCAAGAAGCCCTTGAAGACTTTCCTTGCGCAGTCCTTGCCAGTGTACTTTAATCCTCCTCCTGTTCAGATAGGAAACCACCTCCCAGTAGACAGGTCACAGTGCCAAGACCAGTGTCAGCTGTGACGAGTGCTGTCCCCTAAGCAGTGCAAAAGCACCAGACTTACAGCGGTGGAAGATTAAAAGTGCAATTGCTTGTATTTATTTGTCTATATTCCGAGTAACCCCTGAAAGCCCAACCCTGTAGCATTAGTGATGATGCAGCTGATAAAGTGACGCCAAGACCAGTATCGGGTGAGATGGGATAGTTACCGAAACCTTTATTGTTCCTGCTACAATAGGCAGAAACTGAATGTCCCCAGTCCAGGAAAAATGAGGTGTTAAAAGGGGATTGTTGGTCCTCAGTAGGAATCCTCTGGGTACTTGCTTACCTGTGTATGCCTCAGCTACTTGCAGCCTCAGTTAGTTTGGGGTTGGATATGCTTTAGGCTGTGTTGAGAGTAGCAGTCTGTAAGATTCATTTACTTTGATTGAGGCTGAAAATTCTCAGGACCCAAAAAGCTGTTACAGTTTTGTTCTGAGGCAACTTTCCATTTCAACTGTTTAAGCATAAACATACTTTCTGAATCTAGTTACAAATCCTTATTTTTCCTTTTTTTTGAGTTACAAATCCTTATTTTTCCTTTTTTTTGAGTTGCATGAAAAATATCCTAGGTCTTACTTCAACCCTGTGTGTGTGTTGTGGGAACCTGCTTTTGCCAAATTGTGTTTCATTTCTGATGTGCTGTCCCATCAGCAAGCTGGGGCTGCTTTGCATGACGTGGTTACTCCGTCACAGATGCTTGTCTTCAGGTGTTATCATTTAGCAAATGCTACTGTGCTGTGTTTTGGCTTTTTTCTCCCAGAATTATTGGAACTACAGTCTGTGTGAGCCTGGGGTTGCCAGAATTTGATATTGGACGAAATGTCTTAGATTTGATCTATGCACAGACTTTGACCTGGTAAGTGTTACATTTATGGCCAAAACGTCATTTGCACTTAGAAATACCATGGAACGTTGCAATTCTGTCATTTCTGTGTGCTTCCCATCACGGGGGAAAGAACAGGCTAAATGCCTGAGAGAGATGACATATTAAGTGCCTGTCTGAGGGCTGTGACTTGCCAGCTCTTCTTGTGAGCACGCGGGCAGTGACAGTAACTTCAGTCAGTAGTTCACCCTGCGGCCACCCGGCCTGGGAGGAACCCATAAAAGGAACATCCTAGAGTTCTGCTTCCCCACGGGAATCGTGCTCCTGCTGAGATAGTCCCAGTATTAAACCCTGGGAAACACTAAGAATGAGTATGTTACTCGTACTCATTGTGTACCCCATAACTGGGGCTACAAGAGAGTTTTGCAGATCACAGAATCACAGAATGGTTCGGGTTGGAAGGGACCTTAAAGACCATCCAGTTCCAACCCCCTGCCATGGGCAGGGACACCTTCCACTAGGCCAGGTTGCTCCAAGCCTCATCCAGCCTGGCACATGTACGTAGGTATGCGTGTTCGGGGTTGCATGCTTTGGAAGGTCGGCTGACTGTTACAGGTTCAGTGCCAATGCAATTGCATTCCCCAGCAACCAAGCGCTGACGGTGTAAGAAGTTAGCGTGATGTTTCCTGCTTTCAGTGCACCGAGAGCTGTGCGCTGAATAGTGAAGGTGTAACTTTCCTCTTATAAATCTTTCCTTGTAGGATTGGTATCCTCTTCTCACCTCTGCTGCCTGGTATCCAGATGGTGTCGTTTTCCATAGTATTTTATGTGAAAAAGGTAACAAGCTTTACATGTAATAATCACAGAATTACACCATTTAATCTGGGCAGCATTTACTGCGTTAAAGTACTGTGGTTTTCTGTGGGGTTTTGCATTTAGGGGAGCAGTTTCCTCGATTGGGTTTTGGGGGTGGTGGTGGAGTCTGCTTTAAAGGCACAGAATTTAGATGCACATCCTTGAATTACAAACCTGTGAAAGTGGAATGGTTATAGGAGGGGTTAAGAGCACAGTTAGAGAGGGGAGAGAATAAAGTAGTAAGATTAAAGGCTGGGGAATATAGGGTGAACAAGTGCGTCTGTCAGCGTAGACACTCAGCCTGTGGCTGTGAGTTTGGCTTCCCGCGTACTCCCCAGCAAACCCTCCCACCTCTGGAGTTACCTAGCAGGGCAGTTCAGCTAGAGATCATGGTGGAAATGTCTCTTCAGAATTCTTTCGCACAGTAGTAGGACTAGATGTTAGATTGTCTGTTGCATTTAACAGTCTGTAGTGATGAATGTGGAAGAACAAAGCCGTAGCTACAGATTGATTCAGACTTTCCTGAACTGTGGGTTTGCATGTGCGACAAAAGCAAACTCTAGCCGACAGAGTCCTGAAGAACCCTCCGGAACCTCATTTTGCCTCTTAGTATTTAAAGACTGTATTCTTGAATTTCTCTAAAACTACAGTACATCTACCAAATTCATAAAAAGGAGTTCTTGGAAACTTTTGATAAAAGCTATTCCAGCAATTCCCACCAGCCGTTTCACTGGGATTGACTTAAGCTGAGGTGACGTGGCAGGTAACACCATCCCAAGAGTCAGTGTACCTTCGCCTCTTTAAAGGTCAGCCTGATGATGAACTGCCAACCCCCTCGCAAAGTCTGGAGAACTGCTCAAATGACAACATCCTTCATGTTCCTGCTCTTCTTCCCTTGCTTCCTTGGAGTCCTGTCTGTCATTGGAGTCACCGTCTGGAGGTATGGGAGATCACTGGCGTTTGAGTCGACTGTGTTGTGCTGTGCGACCTGATACCAGGCAGAGCAATCTGCATTTTTCTATAGAAAAAGCCATGTTACCTGCTAATGGAGGTTTTCAGATGCTCATGAGATGTGCCGTATTCTGAAAACAAGACATGCTGAGCGAGTTGACAAGAATGTGGTTAACACAGCAACTTGTCCCATAAGAAAGTGGGGGGAGAAACAGTTACTCTGCAGTTTCGGGTTCTTATTTCAGTGTAACAGCAAATTTGGCTTTTCCTCCTCCTCAAATGGTTCTGTGACCTAATCCTAGTTCCAGGACTTATGTTATTGGCCATAATGGGTCTGCAGTGGAGAAACACCTGGAAAAACTCAATTGAGATCAACTTCTGGATTATTTAGGAGCTTCAAAGGCTCTTTTTGCAGGGAGTGCTGACCTCTGCAATAATGCATCTTGGTTGTTACCAATATTTTAAAGCTTCTCTGTGCGCATGCGTGTTACTCTGGTGACAGTAATGAGGGCAGCATGGATATCCCTTTTTCCTTGGCATTCTCAGACACATTATTTCAGTGTTTGGTAAGACAGGTGGATACACAGAAAACCAGGTGGGATGAAATATTTCGGAGCAAACATTTCAAGATGGCAAGTAGGAATTTCAGACTTTCTGGAGTAGTTCAGCTTCAAAGCAAGCAACATTTTCCTCTTTCGTCCTAACTGAAAATGTTAATTCTTACTAGGGGCTGCCTTAGTTCACCACGGCCTGTTGTTACTGAAAATCCGGAGTGACTTGTGTCCTCGAAGGCAAGGTGAAATGGTGCTTCCCTTGAGTTCCTGTTGTGGAACTTTGAAAACCCAATTCCGATTTTCAGTTTGCTATAACTCGCGCTACAGTGGTTGACTTGTTACGCTGAGGGCAAGGTTGTGTTCGCAGGGCTTGGCGCCCATATGCTGCGGGGAGCCGGGGGTGGGCATGCTACATCTGGAGAGTGATCCAATTTAAAAATCAAGCCTAGGTCATGGAAGTTCCCTGAGGTTCCAAAGAGAGCAGAGGGCTGTACCAAACTAGTGAGCATCTTGCTGGACAAAATCACAGTATTAACTAAATCACTGGTTAATATTTGAAGCTTTAAGTACCTGTTTTCTCACTGTTTCAGGTTAAAACCTTCAGAAGAATGTGGTCCTTTCAGAAGTTTGTCTTCTATGTATGCTGCAGTTTCTGAGTGGATAAAAGTACTGGAAAATTACACTGCCTCAAAATGGGTAGTGTGGATCTACCATAGCTTAATTACAAGTGAACTTTTCTTCTTCATCCTCTCCGTTATTGCCCTGTAAGTACCTGCCAATGAAAAGCACTGGAGAAGGACCTGAAGTGGAAAAAAATGGCTATGACATAGCTATTCTTAATTTTAAAGATGCAAAGTGCATTTTAAAGCATCAGAAATGGTTAATATATTAGAAATCCGTGCATTTGAAGTACACAAAGAAGATACAAAACCTATTCATTTTATGTTAGGATGCCAAAGCTCTTTACAAACCAGCTATATGCAAACTCCAGGGTACACTGCTTGTAACTGACCATTTCCAGCTTACTGCTGCCTGGGCTCCTGACCTTCTTGCCACTGGCACGCTTAGCTGTAGGTACATCCACAAAAGGGAACGTGCTGCTTACAGCTGGCAGGACAAATTGCTGAGTGACCTAAGCCCCAGAAGTCTGGGAGATGGTTGCTTTGTCTTTTCTGACCGTGTCTCATCAGTGGAGTTGTTAGAGGAGACGCTGCCATGGAAAGCATAGCTGCACTATGGCAGCAGTAGTGTGGGGTGGCGCATGAGCGGCGCCTAAGGTGAGCGCACCGCGTGGGGAAATGCTAATGAGCAGGTGCAGTCTGCTCCCAGCTCATCTCTGCTGAATCCACATCCTGTCCCCTCGGCCGAAGTAAATTAGTTTGGCAGAACCGTGCATATTCATAGAATCACAGAATGGTTTAGGTTGGAAGGGACCTTAAAGATCATCTAGTTCCAACCCCCCTGCCATGGGCAGGGACACCTTCCACTAGACCAGGTTGCTCAAAGCCACATCCAGTCTGGCCTTGAAGACATCCAGGGATGGGGCATCCACAACATCTCTGGGCAACCTGTTCCAGTGCCTCCCCACCCTCTCTGTGAAGAATTTCTTCCTGATATCTAATCTAAACCTGTCCCTGATTTCAATTTGTACCCATTGCCCCTTGTGCTATCACTACAGGCTCTTGTAAAAAGTCCTCTCCCAATACCCTTGTAGCCCCTTCAGATACTGGAAAGCTGCAATGAGGTCTCCTCGGAGCCTCCTCTTCTCCAGGCTGAACAAGCCCAATTCTTGCAGCCTTTTGTCATAGGAGAGGTGCTCCAGCCCTGTGTGTTAAACTGTGTGCCCATGGGTAGGGTCTGATGGTGTAGCTGTGCTGCTTGATGTTTCTAGCACCGACCATGCACACTGCAGAGCCCAAACCTCTACTCATAAAATGAGTTCCCACTCAGTCTAGTGGGAGCAGGATCGGCCTGGAAGTGGTGAGCATTCCGTGTTGTGATTTAAGGTCCAGGCATGTGTCTAAGCAAATGACACAAAGTTGGATTAGAGCATTAGGTTCCTATTTGTTGCCTGAAACGCACCTTGTACGGTTGACTTGACTTCAGTTGTGCCTCTCATCCATAAATCTCTTGGTCTTTTTCAGGAGTGTCTTGAGTAACTTCATGTGTTTGTCATTCCTTGTGTAATTGTATACATGCATTTTTTACGTGTGTGTTTATATATCTTTTAGTGGATAACATAAATGAGATAACTTTCTGTTTAGGCAGTGGCTAGGAGGAGATAAACATTCATAGGTATGAGCACTCATACGTTGGACTTCCTCTTTTGTTTGTTTAGAATTATTACTTATCTTTACTGGCAAATAATAAGAGGAAGAAGGACCCTGGCCAAGCTCTTACATCAGCAAATTGTTAATGTAAGTTTGAATTTCAGCTTTATCTTTTTAAAAATTTGGCTTCCTGTTGATGGTGTCATCCTGCTATTGTGGAGCTGTAATCTGCTTTTCCTACAGCAGTTCAAGGGATGGTGGGAGCCCTCCCCCATCTGAACTGCAGGGAAACTTAACTCACAAGTTAAGTTGTTGCAAAATAATTTTAGCTTCAAGCTGTGCTGCTGTAGCTCCTTCTGTAGACAGATTATTTCAGAATAAAACAGAATTGTAATGATTATTCTGGTCAATGGTTACTCATAGCCCTTGAGCCTGTCAAGAATGGTTAGTCCATTCCCGCTAACGATCAAATGTGTCTTGACCATAGGAAGGAAAAGATAAAATGTTTGCACTTCGAAAGCTACAGGCACTGCAAAGGGCAAACCAAAGCCCATCCGTGCGGAGAGGAGAAGACCAGCAGGTCAGTTTGATAGTTCAGGCCCTGCTGTTTCCATTACGTGCTTGGTAGGATTTCATGGGAAAATGATGGATAGAGGATTTTCTCTAGCCTTCCAACTAGGCTGTCATGTTGGGATGTGTCTGTATTTAAAACTTCACCTACGTTGATTGATAACTAGTGAACACCAGGCAGCAAAAGGATTCCGTGGAATTTCCCAAACCGTTTGCTCCAGACTGGCATTTAGCCTAGGAAGGATACAGAAAAGTCTTTACCCTCACTAGACATTATTTATGATGAAGGAACTCCAAGAAAACGTTCCTAATCTGGGAGTGCAGTGTGGGTCTCTGAAGGGTTCAGCCACACTTGAACCTTGCCTAGACTGAGGCTGCCTTCCTCCCCTGACCCTAGGTTTCCTTAGGGGTTGTGCCCTCCCCTCCCCACAATCTTTTCAGCTGAGGTACAGGAGTGCTTTCACCTAACCCCATTTTAAATCCCGTAACAGCATTGAAAGAACTCTAACTTATTAAACTTGAATTTATTACGGGTTTAAATGGAAAGTGGGGAGATTTAGATTAGATATCAGGAAGAAGTTCTTTCCGGAGAGGGTGGGGAGGCACTGGGACAGGTTGCCCAGAGAAGCTGTGGATGCCCCATCCCTGGGCGTGTCCAAGGCCAGGCTGGATGAGGCTTGGAGCAACCTGGCCTAGTGGAAGGTGTCCCTGCCCATGGCAGGGGGGTTGGAACTGGATGGTCTTTAAGGTCTCTTCCAACCCAAACCATTCTATGATTCTTTTTCAAGCCAGTCCTGCTTGCGGAGCCATCAAATGAGTGTTAGAATGTGCACGGATTTGGCTGTGCAGTGGCTTTATTTGGGTTGAGAAAAAAAATCTTTGACTTACGTAACGGTGAAGAAAAAGGGTTTGTTAGGTCCCCCTCCATGCCTCAAAAAACCCCAAACCAAATCCCCCTGTATGATTTGCCATTGCTGATGTGATAATATTGATTAGCTCCCTTCTCTACAGTCGGTATTTAAAGCGAGTGGGCGCTGTCTGTGTGCTGGGGATTTTCAAACACTAGACAACCCCGTGGCCGTGTCCAGGGTCACAACTGGGACTCGAGAGGGGCGGGTTTGATAGCCCACAAAACGTGCGTATTCTTTGATTGTTAAGGTCAGGTTTCAAAGAAGATGCCAGAATAATGTCACTGTGGTTCTAGTAGACAAGCCACCTCCCTAAAATGAGGGCAGTAGCCTTGGGTGGGAGTAGTGCGGACTGTGACTGGAAGCCAGAACATGATACTGCTAATGCCAAATGTACTGTCTTTCAGAGAAGCTCTTCATACCACCTGTCCAGGCAACCTGCCCCACCAGTGCCCGACTACCCAGGAAGGGCATTTGACAGGGAGCAAAATGCATCCTACGATGAGGTGAGACAATCAGAGAAGGAAGTCTCCGCGAGATTTCCCCATATAGAACCTGAGGTGTGACACAGGCCAAGGGCATTGAGACAAGAGGACATCCTGTCTGTATAGAACGAAAGACTGCCTGCAACAGGCACAGAAATACAACCAGAGCAGCGGTTGGAGTGCCCATACTCACAGAACTGTTTAAGATCTGGGGAGTATGGTTTCGAGACAGGATACTGGTATCTTTTTAAATACAAGATAACAGGCACATGAGGGAAACATCGGCCTAAATCTGCTTGTGGATTTTGTTTTCAGTATCCCTATTCTGCTGGAATCTTGGCGGGGACTGGCTTTCCACCAGGTAAGCAACAAGTGCCGAACACAGAGCAAGCAGCTCGTAGGAGCTCGGCTAGTACAGGTGTTTGCTACAGTACAGGCACGGTGCATAGCAGCTTGAAGTAGGAGACACGGAATCTGAGCGTCATGTCTCAAGAGAAAACAAAGACCCAGTTTCTGGGGTAAACATTCTCCCTAGGACGTGCTTAGCAGTAGCTTGTTGCGATGCTGTAGGTGACTTCTGAAGATTGAGCACAGGCTTCTGCACACCAGAGTTTAAGTTCTGTGGAGAAGTGAGCCATGCTGTCTTATGGGAGCAGCCACAGGCAAGACTCTTACAGCACGAGAGAGATACTTCACACCTTGATGTGACTCTCAGCTGCGGTTATTAATGATGTACAGTCCCTGGGACACTGTATGGCCAGAATAAAGAAAAAAGGCAATGGAAACTTGCATGGTAGCTTCAGCTCTTCCTGGTTTACAAAGGTGACTTTGTTCCCAATGCTTGACAAATGAGGCACTTCAGTAGCACAGGGGTTTTTAACGGGGGCGGTTATTGTCCTGACACCAGCAGAGTTAACGTACTTCCTTGTGAAAAACAGCTTCAGCGCCAGCCCAGGCTAGCAGCAGGCCAGGCGTGTCCGAGGCAGTGGCGCTCGCTCTGCGTGCTCGAGAAGCGGCTCAGCGGGAAGATGAAGATGCCGACGATGACTTTCGACCATGAGCTTGCAGAATCGATAAGAAATGTTAAGTCACTGACTGATGTTCTGCAGAAAGCAATGTTCATTTGCACTAGTGACTGAAAAAGCCCTTCAAACATTTTTTCACACTCAAATGGAAGAAAAAACAGAAGAACAGATTGCAAAATGCATCCTGATTACCGTTTATCATTATTATGGGGAATATCCTGTGTTTGGTTTGTTTCTGAAGTAGTGATGTTCTGCCTTCCCCAAGACTGGCCATTACCTCGATACAGTAAGGATCTCTCCAGAGCTGGTCCCTTGTGGTCGACTGAATATAAGAAACCTTGTGCCTAACTGTAAATAAAAGCTTTGGTCTAAAAATGCTTTTATGCCAGTTATATTTTTCAAACTGCTTTTATCTGATGTAAACCAAAAGTGAAGTGGGGAATCAAATGAAAACATGATGGCTGCTCTGGGAGCACCTGTAGAACATGGCAGGGAAGGCGAAGGATGCAGCACTGGGGAAATAGAGGGACAGGAACGGGTTAAGGGTGTAACGTACACATGCTAGGCTGTGCACCAGGAGGCTGAGATTGTTGGTTCTGCAGTGCAGGGTGGCTGAGTGACACGAATTCAGGAGGCTGTCATCATCCTGATGGGAAAAACCACCTCCTTACTCCTATGTGTCTTCTTGCTTATATATAGCTCAAGATACAAGCAAAAACCCCACTGCCCCTTGCTGAAGGTAGCAGCAGATTCATGCTCAGTCAGGAGTTTGTGTAGTTCTTTCCACCCATGACTGAGGGGTTTTTTATTTGTTTAGCTTTTGCCTCTTAGAGAAGTTTTTTTAAGATCTCAGTTGGATCTGTGCGTGAGCATTAATTCCAACAGCAAAGCATACAATCAAGAATGTTGGTATCCAAAGCAACGTTCCAAACCACACCACCAGCCCGTGCAAGCTGCTCTTCCACCGGGCGAAGTGCAGCTTTGCCCTAGTGCATCCTAAAGTGATCACCCCATGTGCAGCGCAGTGTCACCCGAAACAGGGAAGTCAGCAGCACCAGGAACTACCTCACACGTTCCAGTCAAACATACGCAATGCAGACGTGTGCAGTGGGAGGTGCCTTGTGAGCTGACGTCTGAGGAACCTGCAGCTGGAAACCAGTCAGTTACCTGTTCCAGTTCCTCATGGCTGTTGAAATTAGCATCACCTTCTTCTGAAATGAAATTATCAAGTTTAGTAATTCCAGGTATTAGCCATTAAGAAGAGCTGGTTAATTTATGGTAGGGTTGGCTCCACAGGAGTTTTGTGCTCTTGCTAATTATTGACTGTCTTCTCTAACTAGCAGCTGCTTCTGGAGCAGAGCCAAAGCTGGTCACGGCCCACTGAGGGTAGCTGTGATGAGACACACCTCGGGGTTTTACTCGTTAGGAAAACTAGCAAGCAGCTTGCACTGATTTTGATATTTTACATCAATCTGCTGGTGCACACTGATAAGGAATAACCATAGCCTTGTGCTATCAGACACTTCTTATTGTAACTGCAGCCTCTTGATTTCAGGTTAGATCTGGATTACAGTTTCTCACACATCCTTGTGAGCGCCCTTCCATCGTGCAGACAATTAGCAAAGTAAAAAGGCATTTCAGCTCTTTATTCTACCCAGCACGCCAGACTCAGCCACCTTTTAAAAATAAACACATTCATGTGCTGTATCATTACAAGATAGAATCTATCCGCCCTTGGTTCTTTTTGAAAGAAGTCTTTAAAGCCTGAAAGATAAGAAGATACTCAAGTTTTATTCATTAATTCTCACAGTCTTCACACTGAATGTGGAAAGGTGGCTTGTCAAGACACAGCACAGCCATCTTTCCCTGCAGTAGGAGGGAAGTAACACTCACCCCCTATTCTGGCACCATTACTTCCAGGTTCTGTTTTGGGAACAGTAATGTAGATGTTTTTAAGATGCCATAAGTAAACCTCAAATTATGATACAGTTGTAGAACTGACTGCTTAATTTACTAAAATCAAGGTGTGATTTTACAATCTGCCACCAGAAATCACTGACACAGCTTCATAACCACGATTTAAAGAAAGCAAAGGAATAGCCTGAGAATGATAAAGCCACCTGCACTTTCAGGGTATGGCCCAGCTAGCTCAGATCCGCTCCTTTACGTTACAGTGCGATCTCCTCAGACTGCCAATGGCTGTACCTGTGGGGTGCTGGGGGAAGGGGAGATGTCCTGGCTTTGTCCAGTGTTGCAGCAGAGGGGTTTCTGCACTGAAGATCTGACTATGCAGCGGAAGTACACCACTGCTCTTCCTTTTCCCAGAACTCCAGTTAGCGGTGCCAACTATGCTGCTGGATGCCTGCTCGATGGTGAATCCGGACCTGCCCACGTGAGGCAGCTTATTCCGGTTGGTGAGTGGCTACAGAGCATGCTAGTAATGCGGATCACAGTCTTCCACCAAGCTGTCGGTGATGTAGCTGGATCCAAGGACTGTTTCATAGTAGCTTTTTTCTGCAAATGTGTTCACTGTCCAGGCAACCACGTGAATTCCTTTTGAAGACCAGTGCCTCACATACTCTCTGGAAGGAATGAAGACACTGTAAGAGGAAGGCTGACACTACTGTACTTGAGGCAGACAGTACTGAGGCTACAGAGTTTTAGTCTTACATCAGTATCACATCAAGAGCAATAGCATGTCATCCTTTCCAGTGTCATATTTTTGTGTTTTATTACTGTCAACAGCTTTCTCCCCCTTTGAGATTAAACTTAGAATCTAACATAAGATAAAAATACAGACTGAAAAGATAGAGGCTTAAAATAATAAGATAGCATGCAGTAAAGAAACTATCTATACAACCTTACACAACACTAAATGGAACACATTGATGAACATACACTGGGTTAAATCCACCTTTATATACTAACAGAAGGATACTGCCTTCTAAAATATTAAGAAGCTTTAACACTTACTGAGAAACAAAATTTTTCTGTATGAGGAAAGCTGAAACCCCACACAATCGCCACAAGAAACTGTGTAGGCTCCAATCCAGAATGACATCCATTATCATATACAAATAATGTTTCCAGGAGGAGCTGAAACGGGGTGTCCCATCTCCCAGATGGCTCAGCTGCCAGGGCCTGTGTGTTAGTGCAGTTACAACATTTCTGTCAGCTTGTCTCATCTGGAAGGTCAAGGAGAAAAGACTAATTCACAGAAAAGCCAAGCTGTGTTAAATACAAATTGGGAGAGGTTAAATACAAAGTGCTAGCTTGCATTTGCAGCTCCACCAGAATCCTTCTCCCACCTCCCAACCCCCCCC